CCTGCTGTAGGCGACCCTGCTTCGGCAGGGCGGTTGGACTAGATGACCCACAGAGGTCCCTTCCAACCCCTACCATTCTGTGATTCTGTGACTGGAGGGTCCCAAAAAAAAGAAAACCCAATCTCTGCTAGCTAGAGAGCTGCTGCTGTGGGATGCATCCTGGTTTTGCCTGGGTACCAGCCTGTCCATCCATACCCTGAGCCCCGGCCAACTCCAAAGCCCAGGTGATCTCACTAGCGGACACCATCAGGAAAAAAGCAAAACAAACCCAGGGATGGTGACGGAGACACGGAGAGGCTCCAGAGGGGCTGGTGTCCCCCATCCCAAGCCTCCCTCCCACAGCCCTGGGGAAGGCATGGACACACTCAGAACAGAACACCAGCAGGGCTTGTGCTGGGAACACTGACCATGAGCCTAGCTCAAATCTCACACATCCCGCCCTTTGGTGGAGTCGCATTTGGGATCTCACCCCCCTGCCAGCACAGTGCACGGGGATCGGCCATCTGGCCAGCACACACAAGAGATCGCTTCCAGCCCAGCCACCTCCAGAGAACATCACCCAAAAATGCAATCAGGATTCACACTACCCTGCCCTAGAGACCAGTGGGGGTCAGTGCCCCGGTGATCTCCATCTTCCTGCCTGTTTGCTTTCAAAAACAATCTAAATGCAAAAATAACCAGAACAGGAGATCAGGCCAGGCCACAAAAATCCTGAGAAGGAGCAAGCACCTCAGTGCTCACCCAGGGACGTAATCCCTGAGGAGCAAGAGCCCCAAGGCGGCTCGTGCCCAGCACCAGCTTGAGAAGATGCTGTGACCGATGCCAAGGAGCATCTGCAGTGTCCAACTTGGGAAACCTGGTTCCAGCCATTTCGCCCCTGAAGATCAAACCGAAGTATCGCTGGACTGATAAAACACATGCACACGCTGGGATGCTACTGCTTAACCTGTTGTTTCTGGGTGTCTCGCTAGCAGTCACATCCCGAGTTTTTTTTTTTTTTTTTTTTTTTACACCTAAAAGAGTTATGAGCTTTTCCTCCTCCTCTCTTCCTCCAGCGAGAGCTGTGATTCTCAACTCCAGGCACTGCAGCATGCAGGAAAACAGTAAATATCCCCAGTCCCGTGATAACATCTCCAGAGCTGGCAAGGAAGAAAGGAGCCCACTCCCTTCGTCACCCTTGGCAAGGAGCAGCGCTGCACTGAGAGGATCAGAGAATCACGAGATGTAAGGAGAAGGAGAAGAAGAAAAACAATAATCAGATGCATCCAGAAAACAAGATGACCAAGCTGCCTCCCAAGCAAAAATCAGTGAGGGAAAAAAACACACGAGGTCAGTCGTTTAAAATCCATTTAGGAAAATTGACTTTCTGTTTCCATTTAACACAGCACTAAGGGAGAGCGGTAGGACATTTGTCATAATCCATTAACTGCTCTTTTGGAAACAATGAATTAAACTCCGGGCTAATTTCTCTCTCTCTGGCTGGCTCTTCCCCACCTCTCCACCGCCAGCCATTTCGTCCCCCATCTCATTTGCAGACCTGTAATTTTCCCAGCGCCCGCTGCGGGCAAGGGGATGAGGGTGGTGAGGGGGTGTGTGCCCCCCACCATGAACAGTCTCATACTTCTCCCCATGCCCACACCAGGCCACTGGTCCCACTCTCCTCTCCTGCTCAGCAGCCTCTTACCTGTATCACAGCAGCAAATACCACCTTTTTTTTCCTTTTTAATTTACTACTCAGTTTTGCATCCACTGAGTTGTTGTTTTGTTGGTTTTTTGGTTGATTTTTTTAAATTTTTTTTATTTAAACCGCTTCGATGCACAAACCTAAATACCCTGGCAAAGGGGGCTGGCAGGAGATAATCCAGCTGGCAAGGGAGGCAGCCAACAAAACTTCACTCATGGGCTCGTGTGAAAACCTCTCCGAAATGATGCTCTCCGCACCCCTGCGGCGTGCAGTCTGCAAAGGCAGACCTGAGCTTGGCGGCCGGGAAAGGACGCAGGTAGCATCCTCCGAACACCGCTGGTGCGATGCCCGGGGGGCTCCCCCACCACCAAGGTGGGGGCAACGGTGGCTCCTAGGCTTTGACTTCCAGCTTTAAGGGCAGGTGGGTTTAGAAGGTAGGTTTCCTTGCTCCAGGCCAGTGCCAGCCTCTCCCAGGCACCGCTGAGGGCAGCGGCAGAGAGGATGACTACTCTGAGGTATATTACCCCCGCCTGTAACGTGGGTACAAAGCTCCCCATTAAGTTTTTCTGCTGCCCCCTTTTTTTTTTTCTTCCTTTGTTTTTTTGTTTTCTCTCCAAGCCAGCTGTAACACCCCAGGACGCAGGCGAGGAGTCCTGTAGCCCACCCGGCACCACAAGGGTGACCCAGGAGGACCTGACATCCCTAAAGAAGGTGATTTTTGGAAGCAACTTCCCCTTGGGGGCTTGCCTCTGGCAAGGTGACACCCCAAAGCACACTTGTCCCGTGACCCAAAACCATAGGCAAGGAGAGGTCTCCCTCCAGTAGCCAACACCAAAGACACCTTTTCCCCCACACCATCAGCACTTTGGTGATGCTAAATAGGACTTTAGTTCATCCAAGAAGATCTGGGAGCACGGAGGGGATAAAAATCACAGATTTGTGACTCACCCATGACCATCTGCAGCAGGATGGGTGATGCTCTGGGCTGCAGTGGGACCCACCTCAGTCCCCCAGCACAGGGTTCAGGGCTGAAACTCTGCCAGCAGTACCAAAAATCCACACCGCCCCATCGATGGGTCTCATCCAGCCCCCCGCCCCAAGAGGGGGTCTGCCCAAATCCATGCTGGGGGTCTCAAGCTCAACACTTCAGGTTTCTTCTCCCAGGGGACACTGAGTTTGGGGACAAGAGTGGTGGAACAGGATGATCTCCCTACTCCCAGCCAGATCCAACATCTGCTTTTGGGGGCTATAAAAACCTGCTCAGTTCAAGGTTTGAACCCAAAAACCCCCAAACCTTTAAAGCTAGGACCATCCTGGCTGCTGGTGAAGTTTAAATCCTGCAAACACGCAACAGCTGAGAGATCTTTCTTTTTCTGGCCAAGAGAGATCTGAGGCCAAAAAAGCAGCTCTAACAGGAGACAGGGAAAAAGATAACAGGTTTTTCATGGCAGACTCGTAACCACGGCCATGCTGCAGAGCCCCAACCCCATGGCTTCCCCAGGCTCCTGCCCACTCATGGACGGGAGCAAAGCAAGGGGGAGGCTGATTTCTCCATCCAGAAACCAGCCCTACACGGCTGAAGAAAGGCAACTGCAGCTGGGCAGGGCATTTGTCTCCAGCACGATATGGCCGCCAGTATTTAAACACGCTGGGGAAGAATTACAGCAGAGGAACAACAGGGACTTTGGATGAGAAAAGGGAGGGGAACCATGCTGAGCACATTTATCATAAGCCATCAGCCCAGCTTTTCATCCCTCCTCCCGATGCCTGGCCACCCGCTGCATGGGAAACCTCCAGCTCTGCTAATGCTCGCGGGAGGGGGGTCCCCTAAAAAATCCACGTATAGTCGGCGGAGGGGAAAGCACTCCCGCTCGTGCCATGAAGATGAATGAGTGCTGCTCCCAGCTGCCCTGACTAGCCAGCAGCAACAGCAAAATACAACAAAAATCACCTTGTCAGTGGTGCAACACCATCACCTCCATGCGGTCCTTCTGCCACAGGACAGGGGGGCAAACAGCCCCAGCACAGTCAGGGCGAGGTGCTGTCGGTGCCAGGATTAAAAGAGCAGCGGATGGAGAGGTTGGGGAACAGCTTTGGTCTACTCCAGCTTAATACAGGC